GTAAATACAATTATTAAGATTGTTATCATTATTAAACTCACCATTGTTATTGAAATCCTCATTTTATTAAAATCATCATTATCATTATCAAAGTCCTTTTCATGGTCAACAGCCAGACTTGTGGTAGTAGCATTGGAATGGCAATCCTGACCTGGGAAGACCACTATATACCATGGATTCGGGTTTTCCAATGGTTGCATGGTAGATGGAATGGTAGTTTGGGTGAAACTCCACTTTCTATTGAAGCTACAGTGTGGTGTTTATTCTATGGAGGGGATAAGCCTTTGGTGTTTTACAAGGCACTATAGACACCTGGTCTCGGGGACATAAGGGTGATACTCTATAGGCCTTGTAAAGAAGGGCACCAACCAGGGGCGGATCCAGAACTATTCCGAAGGGGGGGGGGGTAATAGATAAAAGGAGCGCTTATAAACATCCGGTAATTGATTGATATTGTACCATCACCATGTTGCTGTAGGAAATCAGTTTAGTTAACACCGTAGGTCATGCTCACTTTGAGTGGTTTGAAAATTGTTTATGGAAAGTTTTAGCCATGCTACTTCTTATACCCTGCCACTATCTCGACAGAGAAAGATTGTCATTCTGTTATATAATGATTTGTTTTATAATGATTTGACAGTGAGAATGATAACTACCGATTATATGTTTCGTTTTTTGATGATCCGAGAACGATGGCACCCATGAGGTTCCTCCGTCAGTATATCAAATGTCATTCTATAGGAAAGGTGCGCGCACTTCCAACAGGGGGCGCCAGACCAGTTACCGAGCAGCGAAGAGGGGGGGGGGGGCAATTGCTGGTGTGGGAGTAGCGTTCAGTTCAGTACTAACTATCGTCGAACATGGGCATTCGTGAGCATTTATCTCATTTATCGCACTGAATTCCGTGTGACCATACGAAGTAGATGAAACAAGGGTGTGCAACTCTTCGTAGTCTCCAAGGAGAGAGTTTGGACTCGTCAGGAGACGAGGGAATTCACTTGTGTAAGCCCATTAAGTTATTTCATGTGTTCATAAGAGAAATGAAATACTCTCTGAAATACTTTCTCACAGAATGCGCCTACGTTTCCACTGTGCATGGCAGATCATAGAGATCAGAATGCGCCTACGTTTCCACTGTGCATGGCAGATCATAGAGATCAGAATGGGCCTACGTTTCCACTGTGCATAGCAGATCATAGAGATCAGAATGCGCCTACGTTTCCACTGTGCATGGCAGATCATAGAGATCAGAATGCGCCTACGTTTCCACTGTGCATGGCAGATCACAGATCATTATTGAGAGGTGTTGCATGCACTGCGGCGAGCCGAACGCCACACTCGTACACTACTTAGAGAATTGTGAGCATACACAATTCCTGAGACAGGGACCGCCTACAACATAAGGATAAGTCCGATATGCGAAGCTGAACCTCGCCCGGGCTATGAAGGGAGCCCGGCCTGTGCCGACCAATGTCGACTCGCAATCAGTGTGTCAGCAGGTGCTGACTCGGGTGAGCTTAGTCCTTACCCACCGTGGTGCCCAGCCACAGGCGACAATTACAACTTCTCGCGCTTGGGCCGGGCGCGAACCGCCGACCCCTCGGATGAGAGGCCGACACGTTACCACTACTACCCCGGAGGCTGCCTACAACAGCCGCCGTGCTGGTAAAGAGGTTACGCGATATGCTTACACCATGGCGGCAGGAGCGCCTGTTGGCAATCCCGCCCTTACGGTAAGCGCCGAGTGTCAGAGAACAAAATGAGACAGCCATAAAAAGTAGACATAGGCCGGGCCATAGATAGATAGATATGTAGAAGATAGACAGAAGAAGCTAGAATTTCGCAAACTTCAATTGATTGATTGCACGTGAGTGCGTGACGCCACAAGAGCGAGCGACAGCGTGATTGGTCGCCGGAGCAGGGGATGCGTCCGACGAGAGGAAAGAGGGAAGCTCTTTGGCTCAAGTGAAAAAGAAAATGGAGTGTGAGTGGCGCTAAGGAAGGTGTGACGTCACAAAAAGGGGAGTTTATCAGTCTGAGAGCGGCGACAGTGGAGAGAAGATCAGTGCGGATCGAGCCTTCGTTGCGTAAAGTCTTACTGGTTATAAAGATTATAAATCTCTTTACAATGATATAAATATTGACTGACTATTTAAAAGTAATTAATGCATGCAATTTATTATGCTTTTAAGCAGTTGCATATAAATAATTGGTCATTGATAGTTTTTTCTCCTTGCAAGTGTTAAAGTGTTTAACAAACTGAAAATGTTTTACGAACTTAAGAAATAAAAACTTACAAGATATATATCTCATATGATATGATATCTTAGATTATATTCTATACATATATATGTATATATACATATATATGTATGTATATATATTTACATATATATAGACACATATTTATGCTTATATTACATTCAGGATACATAAATTATGTATATATATATTATACATATAGATACGTATATTTATAGTTAAACTATATAATATTCAGGATACATTATATTATATAATATTTAGGATATATTTATGCATATATTGTTTGGAATTCAGATATTATTCATAATTCATTTGTTACACTTACATCTTACATTACGTATAAAACATAGGACTACATAGAAACATTATGTATGTCCGTAACTAATAAATACATCAATATAAAGAATTTTTAGTACAGCAATAGAGAAAAAAGGGAGAGAGAGAGAGGGGAGACGGAACGAGGGAGAGAGAGAAAAAAAGGGGGAGAAAGAGAGATAAAAGAGGGAGAGAGAAAGAGATAAAAGAGGGAGAGAAAGAGAGAAGAGAGAGAGAGGGGGGGAGAGAAAAGAGGGAGAGGGAGAAAAGAGGGAGAGAGAGAAAAAAGAGGGAGAAAGAGAAAGAGGGAGAGAAAGAAAGAGAGGAAGAGAGAGAAAAAAAGAGGGAGAGAGAGAGGAGAGGGAGAGAAGAGAGAGATAGAGGAGAGGGAGAGAGAGAAAGAGGGATAGAGAAAGAGAGAGAGAGAAGCCTTCTACAGTAAAACGTAACATTCGATAAAATGAGTCATTTATTCGTTTATATTATTCATATTTACATTATTAATATATATTATTATGTATTATATATAATAATAGTATAATATTATATTATAATCTATATCATTTATATATATATCATTTATATTTATATTATTATTATATTATTCATACTCATTTATAAACAGCGTCTCATCTATGTTATGATATTGCTTTACATATTTCCATTTTTTTTGTTATCGTTAATTCAACTATTATTTTCCGTATCATCATATAGTCCTTGTCACAATTATCATGATCATTATTGATATGATCGTAGTTATTGTCATTATTATTATAATTATAATTATCATCATCATCACCTCATTATCATCATTACCATTATCGTTTTCGATGATTATCGTAATCATCACTATCACTATCATTATTTACTTAATAACAATAAAAACTATAATAACAACAACTATGACAATGTTGATAATCATAAATATAATATTAATGATAATAGCAATATAATTAATAAGAATAATAATGATAATAGGTAATGAAAAATATTATAATAATAGAATAATGATAATCTAATAATATAATAACAATAACAATGAAAATATTAATAGCAATAATAATAACATTAATAGTACAAAAGTGACCTTTCATAACAATATCATTAACTTTATTATTACTAAGGATATAAATAATTTCTGTAATAATAACAACAATATAAAAACAAAATCAAATATGATAATGTTGATACTGATAATGAAAAAAGTATATAAATAATAATAATAATGATAATAATGAAGATCATGATAATTGGAAATAATTGGAACATGATAATGTTGATAATGATAATGAAAAAAATATGTCAATAATAATGGTAATAATGATCATAATATTTGGAAATGATATAGAAAGGGAAATGAATATAGACATAGATAATTCGATTGTTACATGAAAAGGTACAATAATGAAAATAAACATATACATACATATGAATATATATATGCATATATATATATATATATGTGTGTGTGTGTGTGTGTGTGAATTATATATATATGTATACATATATGCATATATATATGTATATGTATATGCATATGTTTCCATATATATATATATACATACATATATATGTATACATGTACACAAATATATAATTACATAGATACATAGATAGAATTTGTGTCGGCCTTTAAAATCAAAATGAAATATCCATTTATCTTTTTTCTAATAGTATCCATGAATTTCCATCTTTTAATTAAAATAGAAGGATCATAGTTGAAGCTAAATCCCTCTTTTCAAATAGCCAAACGTCTTCCAAATCAGTTGTCATATTGAGTAGGTGCAGTAGATTTCTCGAATGCCATGACCAGTAGTAGCAGTCTTTTGACCACCCCTGTTCACTGCAAGCAGACATGTGCTTACCAGAACAAAAATCCCATGTGGAATTAAATACAGGTCATAAAATGTTATTATTCTCTAAAGAACTAGCCATTAAACATGTTAAGTAGAGCATAAATCCGTAGAGATTTTATTTTATTTCATGGCATTTACGGAATTATAATTGGCTGAAGAATTCCCAAACTTCAGTGTGTATACATACATGCACACACACACAGACATATATATATACAAATATATGTTAAGGATACTTAAGTAAATGTGCAGTTTTCTTATACGTTTGTGCCGGGAACTATATACCAAACCTTGCTTCCCACATACATCAGTAATGGAAACTAAGCCTTGCGAAACTGCTGTACCGTAAACCAGTGAATAAAGAATGGTCTCAATACTTTCTTGTATTTTAGTTCATAAAAAGGCGTTTAACAATCTTTTTAAAACCCCAAGGCTTATATCGGTCCCCTACTTCGCCTAAGCAACCCACTTTAACTACTCTGGAAACCCCTGGGGTAACTCTTCCTAATCCCCAAGACTCAGGGAAGCGTCAGTTTCATTTTTTTACTTTCGCCTCTCTTCCAGTCGAGCGTCCCATGAAGCGAAGAGTCGCAGCTGCCGCTCAGCTTCGGGGAGCTTACCCGTAAGGAGAGTGTGTGAAGACATAAGGTGAGATCATAGGAGACTTTGGCAGTTTGTAGTTCTATTTTTTGCTGGTAAATATACAGCAATGTAATTATGTGCATATATTTAATACATATGTTTATTTGTGTGTTTATATACATATGCATATATATATACATATATATATATGTGTGTGTATAAATATCTATATATATATATGTGTGTGTGTGTAAATATTTATATTTATATATTTATGTATATATGTATACACATGTATATATTTGTGTATACGCAAATATATACAGATGTACATATGTATACATCTGTATATATTTGCGTATATACGTATGTATATGTATGTATATATATGTATATGTGAATATATATACATATATATGTGTGTATCAATATATGAATATATAAGTATATATATGTATATATGAATAAATTCTCTCTCTATATATAATCACATAAATACATTTATATCTATATACGTATATATATAGATATATATTTGTATTTATACAAGTATATATTTGTATAAATGTATATTTTCATCTATATATGTATATCTATCCATATATATGTATGTATATATGTTAATATATATATATATATATTAATATATATATATGCGTGTATATATATGTGTACACATACATATATATGTATATATACATACACAATTATATATATATGTGTGTGTGTGTTTGTTTCCGTATGTGTGTATGAATACATGCATAAATATTATATATATGTATATATATACATATTTATATGTACGTGTCTGAGTGATTCTGTGTGTGTCTACATATATATGAATAAATGGATAAGTCATATACATCCACAGACACACATATATATTAATATATATATACCCTTACATACATACACACTCATATATACAAAAATATATGGACACACACACACACACATATATATATATATATATATATATATATATATATATGTATATTTAACACACTCATATAAATACTAAGTAACAGAACTAAAATTCCAGAAAGAGCCAAAAGTGCGAGATTGGCCAGTTAACCTTGGTTAGTAATATATGTATGAGTGTATCCGTAAATATAGAATTGATTTGCATATATATATATATATATATATGTGTGTGTGTGTGTGTGTACATAAATTCATATATATATATGTGTTTGTTTGTGTGACCGTATCGTTGGAATCGACTGTGGAGTTTAACGGCCTTTTTTTTTAACCCTAAGGCATGCATCGACCCCTTCGATAGTCCCATCGAACCCCAAGGAACAACAACGACCACCTGGGCTAGCCTTCCCTCATCTCCAAGACCCGGGAGAGGAGCACGAGTTCCCTCACTGCCTTCGTTTCTGATCAGTCGAGTAGAGTTCCCTTGAGCGGAGTCTCTGGATGACGCCCGAGGAAAGGCACGCACGGTCACTCAGCTGAGACGAATTTACCGGGACAGAGTGTGTGAAGAAATAAGGTAAGGTTATGGGATAATCATTTTAGTTATTTCGTTTTGATGCAAATACGTACATTATAATTAAGTGTATACACATATATTATGTATGTATATATATATATGTATATATATATATCATATATATACTATGCATGCTATATCTATCTTGCTAACAATATATATACATAGTTATGTGTGTATGTATACATATATTTATACATACACACGCACGCCTATATATAGTATATATACATATATATATAGAATATATATATTATATATTTCATATATACATATATTTATACTTATATAGTATATATGTTTATATATACATATATAATATACATGTGTATACGTATATGTATATAAACTACACATACTATATTCATCCTTCTATCAATATATATATACACATATATGTATATATATACATAAATACACTATATATAATCTCTCTCTCACACACATATATATATTCATAGACGGACACAGGCGCAGAAATGTTTATATATATATATATATATGTATATATATATGTGTACCTATTCATACAAAGACGCACACGCACGTGTATGGGTA